ACTTTTGTTAAATCTTTGGTAAAATCTTGTGTTCAGGAAGTGCCAAAAATTCTCGATCAAACCGTCATTTTGCTTCATGGTAAAATCCGCTGATGAAAAACATACGGTACCGTAGAGTAACATAGAGGATTCCTAGATGTCTCTGGTCTAACGCCAATACACTACTAAATTATCAACATGCAATGCAAGTAAGTGGTAATGTAACTAGCGCCATTGTTATCAAAAGGAGGACTGAAACGTAAAATGCATCTTTTTAAGTAGGAATTGGACTTGAAGTTACACATAAGAGTGGAACTTTCATGCAAAGTTCTTTTGAATTCGAGCTGAAATAAAAAAAAAAAGGCAATTCAAGATTGATCAAGTACACGTGACTGTCATATATTTTTATATGTATTTTTTAATTGGTATCAATAAAGCATATTGTTTAATATTCTGTAATTTTTATGAAAGTCCTATTGTGTAGGAAACAGTAACTGTGTGAAATAACTTGTACTATACTACTTGTAATGCTTGTAGTCTGAAACATATTCATAATTGAAGCAAATAAGTTTTAATTAACATTCAATTAAGTAAAGTTAGAACAATAACAATGTTATGATTTTTCTAGAAATATTGAATTACTGTCATTTGAATATTTGATAAACAATCTGAAATTCATGTTTATAATTTACCAGTCCATAGTAATAATCCACTGAATAATCCACAACTAAATGTCGTCTGCAATTTAGGACATGCGGTCATCACGCTTGGTTGAATCCAATTTTGACTTTCAGTTGATTGTAAATCGATAACGATAAATTCTCTGTGTTGTAAAGTTTATACGTTCCATCATTACATCTATCTGTCATTATATGTTGATTTTTTAAACGAAATATCTTGTATTTTTGTGAAGATCCAACTTTAGCAACTGTAGTAACTTCACGCACCTTGCTTGAATTTTATGAATGAAATGTACTGACATGCGCAGTAGAACCAATGTGTCACTTGGGACGATTTTTCAATAAAGTCACTATTTTTACGTTTAGGCAACCGTTTTCACATACACTTTGTAATTCCTTATACTAAATGTGTTCAACGTCTGCAATGTTTTGCAGATGTTAATGACACTATCCTTGATATTTATCATTTGGTCCACCGGTAACACACTTAACTTTTTGCAATGTTGTTTACGTATCGGGACTTCCGGTGGAGTTGTATTGGTGTATTTTTAGTTACCATAGAAATTTGTTAAGTACCATGCAAAATGTGTTTATTATATAACTGTTACTAAAATTGTATATAATTATGATTTTGTAATTTATTTGAGAATTCAAATATTTAGTTGGACAGCAAGCGCGCGATCAAACAATTTTCCAACTTTGCCAATAATCCAACATTGACGTAATTTCGACGCTCGCTGAGCAGTTCTGCGTAAAATTTGGTTAATACAGTTAGTATTTTATTTTGCTCGTCATTAATTTTATTCACAATGGTGAATTTTTCTTACAAACTTCATTTTTTAAAGGTTTAATTGTAAAGGAAAATAGTAAATTTAGCGTTTTCAAAGTTAGAAAGAAATATTTCATTTTAGCGGACTCTTCGGAGCCGGACTCCTATAATTTTGATCATTTGCTTAAAATATTTTATTCTTTTGGTAAATTTAGGAAAGTTATTAAAATTGCTTTAAAATAACTTTTGGGTTAATTATCGTATTATTGCTGGCAAAGCTTTATTTCTAGTTTATCTTTTAAAGTTAGGATTATTGTAATTATACATTGTAGTTCACGTTTACTGTTAACATTTGTCTTTTTCTAATAAATAGAATTAAATAGGAAAACATTTGGCAATTAAGGGATAATTTCCTAAAGGTCTGGAAATTATAATAAACAAAACAGTTTATTTAAGGTATAAACTGTATTTCATTGTTAGTTGTTATTTAGGAAAGGTTCTGAATATTACTAATAATAATAAACATTTTTTTATGTAACTGGTGAAGTATCAGTTATTACTATATACAAAAATGTCAGAAAGAGGTATTCTGACTAAATTCACTTGAAATTAGTATTTTCTATTAACTAAAGGTTATTTATTTTCTTGGTAATATAGCAGGACTCAGCCTTTTATGTATTTTCTAACACACCAACATGCAATTATATTGGTAATAGCAAGTGTTATTTTTGATTAGAATTGCACGGACAAAGTTATCCTGCAATCACAAAAATTATATTAATTATCTCTTGAGTGTAGAGATGAATTATTACATGTATACTGAATAGATTCTTGTCATATCATCTAAAAGTCTATAATTTAATCATCTTACTACTTAAAATTGTTGTTGTTTATCCTGAATATTAATGAAAACATCTGATTTTTGAAATGAATAAAATATAGAAACTTATATATGTGACTTTTAACAAATGCCTATATTATGCTGACCAGATCATATCTTGTCATACTGACTAAGCAATTTACAAACTACTCATAAAATTTGAGTAAAATTTTTGGGTCAAGCATTTCAAGCCCCTGCCCGCTACACATAGTTGATCTCAACATTGACTGTACCCTTTGAAACAGAAAATCGCTGAACTTTTTTTTAAAGTTTTGTCAAGAAAATTGTTAATTATTAATTGTCTTTTTTTTTATAGAAATGTATACAGTAATAAACTATAGTACTAGAGCTAATTTCCTAAATATTCATCTGTTATTTACATTTCTAAAAAATTCTAAAAACAATTAACAATTAACCACATGACAAAAATGACCTATTAAATTTGATCACAGATAACATTATAATTGTTTTTTATTGATGTGATCGTAAGCCAGATCATAAATTTAGAAGATATATTATAAGCTTTCCTACCGTGCTCAGTTCACCTCCAGAACTGAATAAAAAAACCCAGAATGATGAATACTTGAGTATGTTGTCATTGTTGTAACCATCTAGTCATGAAGACTTTCAATGAAATTTTTATATGTTTTTATCAGGTCTTGGAACAACATTTATAAGATGGGGAAGAAAGCAGTGTCCAAATATTAACACATAATTGGTATATTCCGGTAAATATTTATTGAAGTTCATTCGGTTTATTTCACACTTTTAATAATTGCAAAAATTTGAAAATTTTAATAAAAACACCAAAGTCTGTCTCCTGTGCTACTTTAAAGAGTCAGTATCTACAAAGATTTTCAAAGCCGTTAAAATACATTAACTTTTTCAAATCATTGAGCAACCATGTTTCTAGTCATTTTCAGGTTTAAAACAATACAAAATCCCTATTTCTTATGTTATCTGTCCAACAAGAGCTCATTAACTATGCAGGAATATACGCTCACATCACAAGCTATTCTATCTCTTCTGTTTGCACGTACGTTCAAATAGAAAAAAAGACTAACTATTAACTTCTCTTCGGTATCCAAGAGAATTAATTTCATTTGCCCGTTTTCTGCAGATATTCAACAGGTCGGGAACTATAAATTTCCTGACGTCAGAATATATTTGCATAGTAACTTTCCAATTAGAAGGTTAACATAGCCTTGCAAAATTGGTTAATCGACTCAATGAACTACAATGCATCGAGGGCTACTACGAGGTAACTACCATGTGGAATTAGTGGAAAAGGTGTAAACTCATACATGTGTTAAATAGTGTCTGGGACTCTGATAACTAATGTTTTTGTTCAGTGAATGTGTTTAATGTAAAATATATAACATAATCTTCAATTTGATGTTCAGATTTCAAAACATATTGTTTACTAGCTTCACTATTCAACTTTCTTTTTCGTCTTGTAAAAGTAGTTGAACAGGTTTTGTCCATTGTTATACATTGAACATCTACAATAATTTTACGTGAAACAGTAAAATTTCCAATGAAGTAACCACTGTATGTATCCAACAAACAAGAGAAATATGATAGGCTTATATCCAACGCTGCAATTTTCACAAAACATGTTAAAGTTGGCGTCCTTGTCGCACATAAACATAGATAGCATCTAAAATGATTTAATTAAGATTTGCAAATATATGAGTCAGTTAAATTTACATAAAAACAAACTTTGAAAAGACGAAAACAAAACAAAACTACAGCTACTTGCAATTATTAATCAAAATATTGCTTAATTGCCTTCAGAATAAAAGGAACAGTTTGAAAAGGTCCAAAAAAACCGAAATATGCCAAAAAATCAATATTTCTAAATTTTGATAACATTGTCAGACAAGCATTAATTAATGTCTTGTGCAGCTTTAAAGACATATGATTTAGGTTTAGTACATTCCGTACCAACCAGCCAAATATAAAAAAAAACTACACATTATTCTATAGTAAACATCTCTTTTCAAGATATTTATGGAAAACCAAACTTTCTGAAAGGATGTGATATGATTGCCAATGAGACAACTATCCACCAAGGTTCACATGAAGTGGTTGTAAGCATTTATAGGCAACCGTTAGGCCTCCACAATGATATCGTGTAGACGGGTTTGTTTCTCAAAGACAAATTAATAAACAGATGCCATTAGTCGATTTAAATGACTTTTATATCTTAAAAGAAGGTATAATATCATAACATAAATTTTGTGAAAAAAGCTTTGAAATTTCAGCTACCCCAACTGATATTCGGATAATTAATACACGTGTTTCATCGCACAGAAGCAACTATATGTTAATATGAGCATGGAACGAATACCACGGACTATGAATGTGGATGCGAAAAAGGAAAAATTAAGCAAATTTGTTTATCACGCCATGCATGGAAAAATGTTTTGTATTTTAATATATAAGACGTGTTCTCGGTTGACCGTTAACACGTAATAGTCCATCATGCACTGTTACTCATTTAGTGGATTGGTCAAAAACCCAGTTAAAAAAATGCGTCATACGTAAATAAACAATAACATGTGTGCTAATATATGTATGCTTAATATATTTAGGCATATCCATATAATGTAACCCGACCTTTTTAATAATTAATTAGTAATGATATTACACTTTCAAAAGTATCGTATGTAAATCGGGAAGGTATTCGATGTATTGTAAAGTCTGTAATTTTAATAAACTTTACTCAAGAACCATGTCGTGTGTCATTTTATCTATCTATCTATGCGTAGTGACAAATCTGATAAAGTAGTTAACATTTACATAAACTCTTAGATTAAACTTTTCAAATATCAAGAACTTAATCAAACTTTCATGACATATAACGAAACTTGGACAGAAGCATTTTCAAGATCAAGAAATAGCACATGAAGAAATATTCATTGTTCAAATAAACATTTTCATAATTTACTAACAAATAGACTAAGCTTTTGCGGATCAACATGACACTTTTACACGGACAGCATCAATTGCAACCGAGGCACATGGTTCCTGAGAAACCTTTACGAATTGTGATAATAAAATTTAAAAAAAAACAAACAGTGTGGGCATTTATTACAAACCGTATGCTTGACTAATTGCATTTTTTAAATCAAAAAGACTCGAACTCCACTGAAGATTGTAGTGTAGTCGAAAAGTTAGACTGACAAACTAGATATAATCCCGATGATATCTTTCATTCGTTTTTCAAAAAAGAGTCTATGAAACTGCGCATCGCCAAACCGACTCTGAAATTTTGAGTTGTTAACATTCTAGTCCGTTGGTCTCTAGTGGATAGCTGTCTCATTGGCAATCAGGCCATATGCCGTCTCCGTATTTTTTATTTTGAGATGTAGCTTTTCAATAGTTAATTCATACGGAATATATACGAGGATAGCTCAGCTTAATATTGTAATTGTCTGTGCCTTCATGGGTATTGGAAACTCTGTTCATAATAAATGTCGTGTTTTTTTCAGATTCTGGAGCAACGTACATTATATGGGGAAGAAAACAGTGCCCAAACAATAATACAGAACTTGTGTATTCAGGTATACTATGTATTTGCTATGCAATCTCACTTTTTATCAAATGAAAGAGACTTTTGCAAGTCCCATTTGAAAAGCGCATCTAAAAAGCTTATATGCAAGAGAGAGGCGAAAGATACCAAAGGGACATTCAAACTCATAAGTCGAAAATAAACTGACAACGCCATGGCTAAAAAAGAAAAAGAACAACAGACAAACAATAGTACACAAAACACAACATAGAAAACTTAAGACTGAGCAACCCGAACCCCACCAAAAACTGGGAGTGATCTCAGGTGCCCCGGAAGGTTAAGCAGATCCTGCTCCACATATGGCACCCGTCGTGTTAATCATGTTAGTAAAAAGCCGGTAATAAGTCTAATTCGGTAGGTCACATTCCGGGAAAAGGGGACGGTATTGTAGTTACGACATTTTGAACATATCCGCTATCACCTGTGAAACGGATATTCCATAACGGTCAACCAACTCGTGATGGCGTCCGTAAAATTTACGAAGGGATGATTTTCAACTTCACCACTTGGAACTCTTGGTTTAATAGCTTCCTTGTGAGCAGCAACCCTCTATCAAGGAAATTATGATAGGAAATACAAGCCCTGGAATATCGTATCAACTGGGAGATATATACTCCGTATGCAGGTGCTGCCGGAATATTGCTACATAGAAATGGAAAGTTTTGCAATTGAGAAGACGAAATCATCTCTTTTGTCGTAAAGTTTTGTTTTCCACCGACCCTCATTGTTAATTTCTAGATGTAAGTCAAGATATGAGGCAGACTTAACTGTATCAACTGTATCCTTTATCTCAAGTTCGATGGGATGGATGCGTTCAACATAGTCACCAAATTTTGAATATTTATTGAGAGAACATCATCTATATAGCGGAAAGTAAAGTTAAAGGATACTGCTAACTTCTTTTCTTTCTTCTAAGAAGTTCCTGTATGAAGTCAGCCTCATATGAATAAAGGAGCAAGTCGACAAAAGAGGGGCATAGTTGGTTCCCATGGGGATGCCGATTGTTTGTTGAAAAACACGTCCTCCAAACGTAACAAATATGTTGTCAATCAAAAAATCAAGCATCTTGATAATGTCAGTTTCAGAGAAATTTTTTCTGTTTTCTAGAAACTAAAAATATTTACCAAGATGTGCAAGTTTCATTAAACTTGTAAAATATGATGCACATAACCAAAGTGGAGCTGAATGGTAAATTTCAGTAAGACTGATGTTATAAAATATATTAATACATCCAAATACAGGATGAAAATATATATTCAAAAATGAAACGTGTACATTAGAAAGCATCTTTGGACTATTTTATCTATTTTCAAATTTTTTTTGGCGAAAGCGGAAAAGAGAGACCATCGGAGAAGTGATACTGATGCAAATTTTGATATCGCTTAAAATACCCTATATCGTAAGGAGTCACGGAATGGTGTGTATGGGCGATTTATTTCATTCCTACCAAAAGCTCAATATATTTTTTCTCAGTTTCATTAGTTACATCGTTCTGTTGAGGAAAATTTAAAGAAACGAATGAATTTGAGTTCAAAAGACCGAATGTATAATTGTTGGTTAAATGCTTAATTTTGGGCTTAGTTGGTTCAAAGATGTTTGTATTGCTTCGGCTAATGAACAACCGTTGTAATAAACATTGAACAGCAGACGATGCATAAAGAAATGACTAAAATGTAAAAGCAAACAAATCATCAAACAGAGACAAAGGTTCATCTTATTGTTTATAAAAAAAATAAAAAATTCACACAATAATTTAAAACAGAATTGCTGCGTTCCTCTTTTTTTTTTTAATTAAATATAACACATGTACAACATATATTTGAATAGGAAATGTTTTGTCTGTTTCCTTTAGGATATGCAGGTGGGGGACATTACACAGACAAGGGAGCGGCTGTCGAATACGTATGTCTACCACCAGACCCAAGTTATGTTAAGGCTAGTGGCAAGGATGAAGGCCGAATGTACGGTGCAGAATTTTACACTAATTTTTTTTTTGCTTCTGATGGTGCAGGTGAAGACGTCCCTTGTGCTCTCTGTCGAACAAATCATGCTAACACAGCTGTAATGACCCCAGGAAAGAATACATGTTACAGTGGCTGGGAGGTTGAATATCACGGATATTTTTCATCTGGGTATTATGGTAATGACGCTGCTACAACTTATGTGTGCGTTGACATAAAGCCAGAGTATCTTATAGGAGGAGTGAATCAAAATCTTAGTAAACTCTTTTTTGAAGTTCTTACCAAATGCGGTTTGTTGAAGTGTCCACCATATAAAAATAATTACCCACTGACATGCGTAGTTTGTGCTAAGTAGAAATAAAAATAGGATAAAAATAAAATAAAAATTATGTTTCAATTTTTTTATGCAACTAATTTTTTTAACTCTCCTCTTTACTACTGTATGCAAAGACTCACAACTTAACAAAACAGTATTTATCTCAATTCTGTCTCAAGCTACCGAATGAGAAAAAGCAAAATGTAATAAATAAATGTTAACCTCAATTTTCCACGACACTACGTGAGGAAGCTCGTACGGTAGGGTCTTTTGGCGAGAAGTAAAAATCTTATTTCGATACTATTTCTCTCATCTACATATCCCCCCAATGCCAGACGTCCTTTGTCTACTCATCGACGATATTTTATAAGAAATACTGTCAATAAAACAGTTCTTTGCTGGAAAGTCTCAGTTTTTCACTTAATGTTTTGAAGGAGATACTTACTCATATCCCAATCATCTTGATTGTCTAAATTTGTCGTCTTGATTATAGACATCAAATGAATATACCGTGTTTATAAGAACACTCTAAATAAAGGAGACATAGAGTATACTCCAATGAGACATCAACCAAACGACAAAAACAAGCAACGGATAACTAGAGGGCAACATACAGTTTTTTTAGCATAAAAAAAACAACTGAAATATGGAATAAAACAACCACGGACGAGTTAAGTCTTTGAAGACCCATTGGTGGCCTTCGGCTGTTGTCTGCTCTTTGGTCGGGTTGTTGTCTCTTTGACATATTCCCCATTTCCATTCTCAATTTTATTTGGACTGGCACACAAATACACACTAGCCCTTTTCACAATTTCGGTTAGTGGAATAAAAAGATACTTAAACCATATAATAAAAGTCTTCACGAAAAGCATTTTGCTTTAAAATAAACTTAACAAAATTAAACAACTAACAAACAACATAATTACTACGAATACGTATAAAGGCATTCTCACAGTTACTGAAAGTACTATGGTCAAAGTAACAATTATACTGATATGAAATCATGCTGTCTTACACTCTATAACATCGATTGTTCTATTTCACTGAAGATTTCACACATCAAAGTAAAGAGCAGAAAGACAATAATTTACACAACGTCCAGACCAAACTGTACAGAATGTAAATGTAGAAAACAAAAGAATCATTTTAGTATTGTTCCAATCTATAAATAAACGAATAGTTGGTTATCCACAGCTGGACGCATTTAGTAAAAAAAAGGCAGCAGTTTAATATCAATCCTCATCAACAAATATATTCAGTCCCTGGGAATGATTTGAAGAACAATCCCTAAAATTGCAAGTCATATATCACCTACTGAATGATAAAACACCTTGTTATCATTATCAAACAGTGTGAACTATGTAGCTAAACATTGTGAAAGCATTCAACATAACATTGTGAACACACTATCCCTACAGAAGAGTTTCGATTCGATAGAATCTAACTTTTAGTGGGGTAACGGAACATCAAAAAACCATCTAAAATGTTGGATATCTGTTTACTTATTTGTTATGTAAGTCAAACAATTTACTCAAAATTTCTGGATTCGTTCGCTTAAAAATTTCAGAAAAAACCTAAAATTTTGACCGCCGTTCCCTGAAGATTTTCTGAATCATTGCGCCATTTAAACAAGTTTTTTCTCCTAAAAACAGGGTTTTCTAAAATAAAATTCAAATACTGCTTTCCTCCCATCAAGCAGGTAAAGCTACCAGATTCAAGCTGGCAATCAAGATAGCAGCCACTTTTTTTCCAGCAGCCAATTTTAATTATATGTCTAAAAACCAAAATACACTATAAGACTCAAATGTTCAAAAAATCTCAAAATCTTAGTAAAATATGATAGCACCTTCTATGACAGCGGAATTCGACATTTTCCGTCTTGTCGTGATTTTCAAAGATAACAATCCGTTTTACATACCAATGATGCAAGAAGAAAATATAAAAATCTATGTACAACTACAATTGTTAATATTTTGATTCAAGTATGTTGTGATGAATTGTGTTATATATATATATATATATTCATTCAACTGAATAAGAAAGATGCAGTGTAAGACAGAAAAACTACATACAGGCTTTTCATACACTCGGCATCCTCAAATATACCGTATTTCAGCTAAAATCATTTATAATATCTACCTCTCTATGCATAAAATGAAAACATTTCGATATATATGTTATGTGAATCTGTTTTGTCATGTGAACAAGTATTTTCTATAAAAATCTTACGTGGACTATTTTATACAACATGCAACATTACCAATTTTTAATTTAAATTTGATTTTTTTTTTGTCAAATGTGTCAGATGATTAAAACAATGGCACAGATCTGTGTACTACAAAAGGTGCATAATTCAACCAGAATATATTCAACGCATGGTCAAAATTTTTTAATCTTACCCAGATTGTTAAAAAAAAAGAATGTGTGGGTGATATGGAAAGTAAGTAAAGGGGCAACTTTGAACCCCTGTGGTGGTCAACCAGGCCTGGATCCCAGAAACATATTTAAGTGCCAATCTGCCTAAGAATCAGGCAGTGGTGAAAACATGACAAACAAAAATCCACTCAAGTTGATATTAAGTTATGTTCAAATTTTATAATTATGCACGAATATAACATTCGTTTCCTTTTCCTGTTCTGGTAATTCAAGATATAATTTGGTTGAAATGCGCTAGAAATTAACAATCAAGCGAGGTTAACTCCATAATTTGTTATCATTCTAACCAAAAGTTACCTACAGATTTCTCGAATTACCAGACACACAGAAACGAAAGACCTACCATTTCTAACTCAGGATGAAGGTAACTTCAAAATAGGATGGTTAGGTCGGTGGGATTTTTTCGGCCATGTTTTGAATTTTTTTCTAAATTGCCTTATTCTTACAAAGACTGGCACATAAGTGGAGAATAGCCTGGGTCAACACCTTTGAAATGAGCAAGGTCTGGTTCAGAATTTTGCCGTAGAGACTTGCTGAGGAGTAACGAATGTGTAGTTGACATGAAAATACGTAAAGTTGCAGCTTTGAACCCCTGTGGTGTGTAGACGGGCCCGGTTCCCTGGAAAATATTTAAGTGGCGAACAGTTATAGAGAAAGAACTAATTTGACTATATTGCTTCTATATAGAAATGATAATATTAACGTTTCGACGGAAGTTACCTTATTCTTCTTATTTTTATTAAAATTTAAGACAGCACTTTTTTTCAATATATTATTATCATCATCAGTCCTTTATACAATTCAACAAAATAGGTAAAAGCAAAACAACACTTTTTTTTTAAATGTGTCATATGCACATCGCAATATTAAGACATTCGTATATCATTACATGTTAACCTTCTGATACCCTTTATGACCTTTTCTAGCTTTAGAACGATAAGGATCAATTTGTGTCACTGAATTTCCTCATAGCTGATAATCGACGTCTTATCATGATTGTATGGTTAATATATATTTATTTGTTTTAAGGTACATCTGGTCACCACAGAAGAGAAGAGGTTATTGCTCAATGACCCAGATGTACTGGTAAATCGGTTGAATCGACTGAAAAGTGTCATGGCGGTACTCAATAGCACAGTACAACAACACTCAATAACAATTCAGAAACAGGAAAAGACAATTAAACAGTTACAAGATTATGTTAGCACTGCTCAAAGTAAGATTATTATGTAGTTTATAGTTCGTACTTTTAACTTACTATTCATTAAAATCCGCTTTATTTGCCGACTAGATTATAAAAAAAACTTAACTCTAACAAACAAAAGATATGGTTTTATCTTCTCCTTTTAAGATTGCAAGATAGCTAATAATTCGAGATTTCAAAAGTGAAAGATATTGTATCAGTTCAGGAATATTGTTCATAAATTCTTAATTTTAAAAGGTCTTCTAATGTCTCCTTCCGTTGCAGCATAAAAAGTAGCTAAAATAAACACATTTTATAATCCCGTGAATAACGATATTGATAAAGTTAAAATGTTAAACTTACACTTCAGAAATACTCATAGAGGTAATGATTTTATACAAAAAATTGCTCCTCTTTATCGTTAGAACATTAGCCCTTTGTATTGTGACGTCATGAATATTCCCACAAAACATTGTGAAAAGGCATTTAATGTTTCTTTCCAGTAAAATAGAGTTTAAACCATACAAAATTCCTAGACATTAAAAGTTTTTATTCTTCTCTCCACCTATTTATAGGTTTGAACTACTGCGTGTACTTGTGTATTTTCAGCGTATTTGTGTCTTTTAAACTAAACGCATGTTATTGAACCGATTTGTCATCTCCTAAAAATTGTATGGTTCATAGCTTTACCTTTGTCAATATACTCTTTGACAGATGGCCGACTTGCCCATATATTACTATACGGATGTCAATGCCATAATTGCTAATGTGCTTTCAATGTCTGAAGTAAAAAATTATATTCCAGGCCTTGGGACAACGTATATTAGATGAGGAAGAAAGCAGTATCCAAATAATAGCACAGAATTAGTCTACTCGGTTAAGAATGTAATCAAAATACATGAAACAAAATTCATTTAAATAACAATCAAATAACTCCAACATTGCCTTATTAAACACAGATGACTCTTGTTTTTCTATCCGAACAGCTGCAAGGGCATTCTGTCATTGAAGATTTCTATGGACAATTTTTACTGTTTTTATTATCTAGCTATTCCTCTTTTTGTGTATGTCAGACAGAATTTGGATATTTCGTCGTCGGCGGCGTCCACAAATATTCACCCTGTGGTTAAAGTTTTTGAAATTTTAATAACTTTCTTAAACTATCCTGGATTTCTACCAAACTTGGACAGAAGCTTGTTTATGATCATAAGATAGTATCCAGAGGTAAATTTTGTAACAAAAAAAATCCTGTTTTTCCGTATTTTACTTATAAATGGACGTAGTTTTTCTGCCAGTTAACATTACATTCACTCTGTGGTTAAAGTTTTTGAAATTTTATTAACTTTCTTAAAATATCCTGGATTTCTACCAAACGTTGACAGAAGCTTGTTTATGATCACAAGATAGTATCCAGAAATAAATTTTGTAAAATAAAAAATCCTGTTTATCCATATTTTAGTTATAAATGGACTTAGTTTTTATGCCAGTTAACATTACATTCACTCTGTGGTTAAAATTAAAAAAAATTTAATAACTTTCTTAAACTATCCTTGATTTGATCAAACTTGGACAGAAGCTTGTTTATGATCAAAGAGCTAGTATCAGAAGGAAATTTTGTAAACATTTATTTCCTTTTTTCCTGTATATTACTTATAAATGGACTTAGTTTTTCTCCCAATTAACATTACATACAGTCTGCGTTTAAACTTTTTAAAACATTTATTAAATTTATAAACCATCCTAGATGTTTACCAAGCTTGGACACAAGCTTCTTACACTAAAAAGATAGTAACTAGAGGAAAATTTAAAAATAAATTTATGTTTAAACTCTTTTATAAATCTAGAGATTTGATTGCATAATGTATTCATTTTTTACAAGCATAACATTTTTCATACATTTCAAACGTTTTATTTCATTAACTGTAAATCTATTATGTGAATTCCCCTATCACACTGAAATCATAGACAACAGCAAAAGTAGGCGAGATACTTGGTTCTGCGGAACCCTTACGAATTTTTACCATTTAGTTCTCATTTTTTTTTTCTATTCCGTTATCCAATTCCAGCCCCTAATGTTTGTATTCATATGCAATTGTACAGTGTTGTTTCTGATTATTTTTTTCTTCTTGAACGTCGGTGTGCAACAAAAACTGTAGCTACCTTAGCTAGTTTCCTGTTGTAGCGGGCACTTTTTGTCCTTGCTTTCCAACTTATGTTTCCTTGTAAAACAGAGTGGTTATATGTTGGCATCTTCACTATGTATATTTTTTTTTGGTGTTATTTTACGTATTTTACGACATTTTGCCCAAACAGGTAATTGAGAATGTTTTGCGCCCGTAAAATTGGTTAAATACCACACCACAATTTGTTCCTGTACCGTATGTTGTTTGTTGTTGTTTGCCATGTTTATTTCAGAAGAGTTGGCTGTTGATTAGTATAGTCTGACACGTACTTAAATCCAATTAGGTTCTATAAAATTACACTGTTTATTTTAAATACTGTTAATAACCACTGTGTCGATCACTCTGTGGTGCCGTTTTTTCCCCGAGGTATCACCATCACATTAGCTAGCGCCCATGTGTTCGCATGAACTATTATTGTCACAGTCATTTTTCAGTCAGTTAACTGTTCATTTAATATAAAAATCATTCGAAACACGAAAACAGAAAAATTCTTGGTTATCAATGTTCACTTTTGATTTTACCTTTTTTGATGAGAACTCCACTGATAAGTATTATGTAGACGAAACGCGAATCGGTCGTTCTAAATCATAATCTGTGTATCTTAGATGTGTTTGAAATTTAAAATCTTGTATTACTTGAAATGTAACAAGTGAATGTATAATCATTTTACGGTCGATTTTAGAAAACATTGCTTAGACCACGGCTTTGTATACACATATACATAACATATTTGAAGTAACACATGTATACTTTCTTTTAATCACAGGCTTTGCAGGTGGTGGTAATTATGCCGATGCAGGCTCAGCTGCTGAATACGTATGTTTACCACCAGATCCAAATTATGTAAAGACTAGTAGGGGTGACTATAGTCGTATGTACGGTGGAGAATTTAATTCCAACTTTTTTGCCTCCAATTCTGATGACGAGGACGTTCCCTGTGCTCTCTGTAGAACAGAACGTGCTACATCTGTTATAATGATTCCTGGTAAGAACACATGTTACAGTGGATGAAAGGAAGAATATCATGGATATTTGGCATCGGGATATCATAATCATAATGTTGCTTCTGCTTACGTCTGTGTTGACACGAATTCAGAATACATTTTGAGAGGTGTGGATCAACGTTACGGTAAACCTTTTTATGAAGTTCTTACCAAATGCGTATCTCTGAAATGTCCACCATACATTAACAATTATCCATTGACTTGTGTAGTCTGTTCTAAGTAATGAAATAAAAGATAATAATATATATTTAGCTTTTCTTCTATATATGTTTTGCTTCCGTAACTGGTAAAGAATTCCTACGAATGTAGAGTAGACGAAATTGGTATTTCTATGGTAGAAAAACACGTCATGATTATCGGTTTTCAATTCTATATCTAATTTGCTACCTCGAATAATAAGATTTGAAAACAGGGAGAAGAAACAAAAGAGGGAATTAAAAACAATATTTTAAGTCTAATAAAAAGACTTAATTGCCAAAAAGAAAAACAACTGAAAGACACACATAATGCAGTCTACAACACAATACACAAAAAACTAAAGATGACACATATAAGTATTTTAGTATATCGAATAAATGGTTGAGGTATATAACATGAACTAATGGAAGATGAAAAGGTATGATTTAACATACTTCAGTATTAAAGACCATTGGCAAATGCTAAGAGACTGTTGAAATTTACATCAACTTTATATGAGAATGAAGATTCAAGGCAAATACTTCAATTCTGTGGCGAAGAGAGGAACCATTGTCATATTTAATGTTTGAAAGGATAAAAAAAATCCGATGTTCTGTTGTTTATAGTTAAGAAAAGGATATTCTGTATTTATTCATGGAACATATGCCTAACACGTACCTCATCATAAAACACAAAGCAAGGAATGAGTAGTTTTATAATATTCATAATTTAGAAATATATTTGTGAAGCCTTTAATATGGAACAAAAAATCACAATTTTGATGTTTATCTTTTTCATTATTGTTGTACATAGGATTTATCTATTTTGTTTTGTAGTATGCATGTTTTATTCATATAGTTTATATCTTGTCTTTTACAAACTGATGATTCTGATTTTTTTTATTATTTTGTATGATTAGACAATCAGTAGTCTACAAAACACTACAAAAAGTAAAAACAAACAAAAGTCGGGGTGATCTCAGGTGCTCTGGAAGGGTTAACATATCCAGCTCCACACGTGATATCCGTAGTGTTGCCGAAGGAAGTTAGCATTCAGTGATAAGTCTCATCAGGTTATGTTACAATCTTCGAAAGGGACAGGAGTTTGTCTACGGCAATAGGAACCTATCTGTGATCATCTGCTACATGGATGATCAATAACGATCAAACAAATTATGATTGCGTCCGTAAAACGTTCAAAGGGATGACCAAATATTTACCACCAGGAACCCTTTGTTCAATAGCTTCCTTTTAAGAAGAAATCCCCGCATGAGAAAATGTTGATAGGAAACGTTAAGTTTGAATATTACATCAACTTCGAGAAATATATTCCACATGCAGGCGCTGCGTGAATGTGTTATATAGAAATGGAAAGATCACAATTAAAAGGATGAAATCATTTCTTGTGTAAAGTTTTGTTTTTCATCCAAACCTTATTGCAAGTTTCTAGATGTACGTCAATGTATTGGGCTAGCTAAGCTTTATATGTGGTATCCTTTATCTCAACTTCGATGTGATTAGATTAGA